AAACTTGCACTGGTGAATGTAACACAAAACCAGTCCTCCAAAGGCCAGATCCACCACCACGCTGGGGGCTGGTCTAGGAAGTGGTTTCCGTTGCCATGAAAATAAATAGAAACATGAAGTTTAAGGCTTCCCCGTTAGAATACCAAGGCACATTTATTTTTGTGGAAATCATTCTTTGCCAGTTCATACTTTACTACTCAGGGAAGACACATTCTGTCTAGTCAGGAGAAGTTTCCCACTGCTACTGTTTGTTCTTTGGATCCTTCTTCATTTAAGGACTGAAAAATATGTCTTTCCTCAGCTGCCAGTTAGGCACTAAAATAAAATAAATTAAATAAAATAAAATTACTCCCCTTAGCACACTCAGCTTTGCTCTACCTACAGCTAATTGGACGTGCCAGATCTGGGTTTGGTTCAGCTCAAGCACGGCCACATCAAAGCTCTGCACCTCCGCATGGAAAGGGCCCGTCTTACACAGAGGTAACCGGGAAAGGTGCTGATGGTGCATGTTACATCAGCCTGAATGCCAATATATTCCTGTCACCAGGGGAACACCAGCCTTGGGAACGGCTCCCTCTGCACTACTAACAGGAGCCAAGGGCAGCCAAGAGCACTGGGACATCTGAAGCCTCAAATGTGAACCAGTTTTGGCCCCAAACACAAGACCTGCACCCTCAAGCCATGGCGCTGGTGAAGCCGTTTTCCCTTCCACAGACACACCACCTGCACACCAAGAGTTCAGGTTATTAACCGGCTCCCTGCCAAGCTAGGAAAGGTTATGCTCTCGGTGGATCCTTCAGGATTCCTGACTCTGCTCCTTATCCCCAGCCCTGAGGCTGAATCCAGCCCTGCCTCCCCAGCTCTCTGGGGCCCAGAGCACTGCCCCTGCCATCTGCAGAGTCACAAGGCAGAGCCTTCACGTTTTTGGGAGTGCATGCAAAGATGAGAAGTTCTGACAAGGGAAGTACCAAATTCAGCCTTTTCCGCCCCAGAAGATGGAAGTGATTGCGTAACCTCCCCCTCTCCTCCTAAAGGAAGCAAGAATATTTAAGTATATTTAAGATTTTTTTGGCTTCCCCTTTTTTCATGATTATTGTTTGCCCGCGCACACAGAGTTTGCCTGCAAAGGTCAGTGATTGCTCCCAAAAGAGGGGAAAAACAGGAAAATAACCATGCAACGATTAATTCCAATTTGTGGGGGAGAGGAGGAGGAAAGGGGTGCAGGATTTGAATGGTTCAGCAGCTGCTTCCCCAGCACTGGGGCAGCAGCAGAGCCATGTGGGATCAGACATGGGCGTCAGACCAGAGCTCCAGCCCAGATCTGCCAGTGAGCACCTTCCCTGTGATGTGCAAATTGTTTCAACCAGTTTCTCTACAGGGTGGAGAAATAAATCTCTATTCCTTTTATTCCAGAGCTGTGAGATCATATTAATATTAAAAAGGGGCATGCCCGGCTCTAGAATGAGAGCTTAAGATACTTTTCTTTAAAGATCTGATGCATAAATAAAAAAGATAATTATGGTGGCAGCAAGTAAAGCAGTTATGGAGCTCTAGAGCACCAATTCCTACTACTGTACTAAAGGATTTAACTCGGACAGAATGGGAACAAATCACTGAAATCCTCACAAGGTGCACTGTCAGCTCTCACAGGAACAGATCCCCAGCTCCGGAATAATTTATGTGGATAGTAAAGAAGGTAGGACAGTTGTGGTTAATTCCCTGGGCAATTTCCAGGTTACAGCTGACATGCCCTGTGACACTACATCATTTCCACAACTCTTTTAGGATTTCTCAGCAAAAGCCAACACCAAACAAAGAGTCCCCATCTAAAAACGTCACCTTATTGCCACCGTGGAAAGGACAAGGCCACACACTATCAGGTTCCATTTTAATTATCTGGGGGAAAAAAGGTGGACAGAAACACTCGAATGCGTTGACTCAAGAATTTGCAGTACAAGTTCCTTAACCAGCTGGCTTTCCCTTGGAAAACTTCCCTCAGTGCTGCCCCAGCCATCAGGATAAGCACACGCGCCTCCCTCTCAGTTCAGCTGCTTTGATATCCCTCTGATGAAAGGCTCCTGTGCTGCTCTTCCCCCAGCCCACATCTTCTCCTTCACACAGGTGAGGGGAAGCCAGTTAGTGCTCATTAGAGAAGAAAAAAAAGCACAAAGCAAAGAAGTGAGGAGTGCCTTTTACTAAAGCTAATTTCTGAGGCCAACCCACACTTCCCACTGCTGGCAAAGAGACTCGGCGTTATTGCCTCTGTTTGCTGCAGCCTGTTTGAATACAGAACAAAACCTCTCACTGGTACTGATACAGCCAGGAGATAACTATTCATAACATGCAATCTGGGAAAGTCTATATTTTACATCTTTCTTATTCCCACTGCAAACAGAAAAATATTTCCTCTGTTGTTTTTTTCTTTAGAAAGAATCCATTTTCCAGTCAAAAACCAATGGGATGAAAATGCCAATTAAATCTCAGCCAAGGCAAGGGAGAAGGAACTCCCTGACCAAATAAATGGCTCCTTAACACCTCGCTTGGACAAAACCTTCTGCAGCAAGGGAAGTTTGGGTTCTTACCTGGCAGATAACACCATAATTAACACAAAGCTTAGTGCTCACAATAACTCTTAGGATGCTTTAAACCTTCCTATGGATCAACACTGGGCAAGGGAGATTTTACATCAGCTGCTTCCTCTTTATAAATGATTACGTAAAAGGCTGGTCTAGCTTTTGATGTGTGTTTAAACACAAAAGTTCACTAAACAAATATTTTTAACTCCTTTGATGTAAAGAATAATGGAAACAATCGTCTGCACCCATAGAAAGTGTTTCTCTAGGAAAGGGCTGTTTCACTATCAGCAAAGAGCACAGACCAAATGAACCAGATGATTCATCAAAAATAAAAACCCACCAAAGCTGGCTGGTTTGAGAGAAAAAACTGAACCAAAGATACTGTTTTTGTGCTTCAGTGGCAGTTTCAGAACAGAACAGAGCCTTAAACATTCCTTACTTTTAACAGAAAGGTGTGCTCGTGCTGCTCAGAAGCAAACTGGTAATAGAAAGCCACAGCCAAGATTTGGAAACAGCTCAGTTCCCAGCCTCTTTTTTCTCCCTAAACCTGATTTAGGAAATCAGGTTTGTGGTTCAAAAGCATGTCAGACCACACCTCTGCCAGTCCTCTGGGTGCAGTTGATAAAGAAAAAGCAAAGTCTGAGAAGAGACCCTGGGCTTAAAATAAAGAGATAACAGACATGACAATGACACAGCCTGAGTGTCCCAGCACCACCCAAAGCACCCACCAGGTTTGCAAAAGGGAAGCTGTGACAAAAGTCCTGTTGCACAGACAACAGAAACAACAGTTCTGAGCAGCAACACCACCTAAAATCCAGAAATGTCCATCGATTCAAAGCTTTTTCCCTGAATAACTGCATTTCTGAGAGGATCCAAGACACGACATTTTCAAGGAATGAAGCTCTAAATACACAGCTCCAAAGAGCCTCGAACCCAGTGAGTCAGTGAGGGCAGCAGGAATGATGCAACTTGGCACTTGTGAGAAAGTTTGATGTATCCAAGGCCCCTATAATGTATGGCATTCCTTTGTAAGGGTGCAGGCAGGTATCTTATCCAGTTAAGATTACAAATAAATTGTAATTATAAGATTAAACCACATTTAATAACATTAGGGGATGATAAAAACTATATGTGGTTGCCCTCTGGTTTTTGACACTTGAGTTATCTATGCTAAAACCTTAACTATCAAACTATTTAAGTTACTCTTACTTTTCTAATAAATATTTCATTAAATGTCCTTATACCTCTCTCAAGTCCATCAAAAAGGTGCTTTTTACTCCCTTCCTGGCCCAGTATCTCCAGTCCATAAAAAAGACAACAGTAAACATACCTCAAGCTCTTCTTCCTCCAAACCAGGTTTTTTGGCAGCCTTGGTTTTGCTGTTACTAGGAAAGATCTCTTAGCAGAGCCTGAAGCTGGGTAAGGATTAGCAACCTGACTGCAAAGCACCGAGAAACATCACACAAACGGCTGAAAGAAAAAAGAGAACACGTCCTCTAGACAGATGCAGAATCTTTCTCTCTTTACAGCAAGAGCAGACATTATTTCTTGCAGAAGGAAGCTGTACAATCAACAGTGCCTTGCTGTCAACTGCTGAGCTGCCAGCTCTCATGAGGACCGGTGTTACACCGCCAGCTCTAACGCTCATGGATGTGAATCATCTTCTTAACCCCAATGAGGATATCCACAGTCCTAAGGAAATGACAGTGAGATTTTTCTAAATTGCTTCAGATAAAATCACAGAATCGTAGAATACGCTGAGTGGGAAGGGATCCACAAGGATCATCAAAGACAGCCCTAAGAATCCCACTCTGTGCCTGAGAGCATTGTCCAAACGCTTCTTGAACTCAGACAGGGGCCCACGACCACTTCTGTGGGGAGCCTGTTCCAGTGCCCAACCACCCTCTGGGGGAAGAATCTTTTCTTAACACTCATCCTAAACCTCCCCTGATAAGAGTTTCATGCCACTCCCTCAGGTCCTGTCCCTGGTCCCCACAGAGCTGAGATCAGTGCCTGTCCCTCCTCTTCCCTCACGAGGAAGTTATAACTGCAGTGAGGTCTCCCCTCATCTCCTCTTCACCCCCTAATCTCCTCTTCACCAAGTGCCCTCAGCCGCCCCTCACACAACTTCCCCTCAAGGCCCTTCACCGCCATCATGACCCTCCTTTGGACACTCTCTAATAGCTTAATATCTTTTTATATATTGTAGCACCCAAAACTGGCACAATATTCAAGGTGAGGCCACCCCAGTGCAGAGCAGAGCAGGACAATCCCCTCCTTGCCCAGTGATGCTCTGCCTGATGCCCCCCAGGACACGGCTGCCCCTCCTGACTACCAGGGCACTGCTGACTCAGTGTCCGTGGTCACACTCATTTTAAGAGAATTATAGAAAGAAAATTGCTCATAAATTTATTTTACACATTTATAAAAGGCAGATATGAAATAAAGTTAGGTTTCCTTAGCTCATTAGCATGTAAATTTAAAAAGCAGCATGAAAAGGCACCGTGCAATGAAAAATGACCTCTGTCTTAAAGTAAGAACTAACTGGGGTATCACTGACACATGAAAACCACAATGTTGTCCTTGCATTAAACAGGGCCTGATTTTGAAAAATAAATGCATGTCCATATGTTTATGTCTGAACTTCACCCCAGAGCAATGTTTGCAATCCAGGTGTAACTATATAAATCTAAACACATAAACCCAACCTTCACTTTTCCAAAGACTGAATGCATGATCACTTGTACCCACAACGTGGGCTAGAAATAAATGTTCATATCAAAACTGCATAAGCAGAAAACTGCAGTTATTTTGGCTGAAAAGGTGGGCCTCAAATTATCAGCTATTAATTCTGGTTAAAGATTTATTTGAAATAAGCTCAATTTGCCTTATTGATGTAAAGATCATGTGAATAAACCATGAACTTTCTAGCACAAAGGATTAATTTTTCGTAAAATAAACTGTGTTCAGAAACAAGCAAAACACTGAATAACTGCAGCTGCTAACAGACCAGGAAAGGGGTTTTATTTTGCTGCCATCAGCTGATATGACTTTCTAATAACACTGAAACATACCCAGAACTAAAATTTTGCTTAGTAAATATTGAGATTTTTCTTTCTATAAATATGACACTGGTTCATGCAATATTAATATCTAATTTGTAAAGACTTCAAAGGATTATCCTCATTATGGTTCCAAATGACTAACATACTTAGTTAACTAAAATTTCTTAAAATGTCTTCTCTAATTTTGATTTCGTATTTTTACTATTTTCCATAATTTTGAATTGCTTCCTACTTTTTGCTTACACACAGATTTGGGTGACCACTTGTGCCACCAAGGTAATACTCCAGATTTTATGACTTCTTAAGCCTTCGAAGTTTTAACTTCCTGAGACCATTTTCAGCTTCTTTTTTTCTTTTTTGGGGAAGCTTCTCTGAAGACACAGCTTGCAGTTCTAGACTCGGTGATGGCATCGCAGGCAATCCCTCAGTGCCTGTGCTTGGCTCCTGTTGGCTTGTCTGCACTCCACTGTTCCTCACAGAAAGAGGCTGAGAGGGTTCTTTTGTCCAAGTCAATGATTGCTTGTCAGCTGCAGTCTTTGCCCTGTCTTGCTTAGAAAACAACCTGGAATTACGGGGGGTCTTCTCCTCCAGGAATGGACCCAAACAATCAGCATTGCACTTACTCATTTCTGGATGGACAGAAATTAAGGGAGTCCCTTCAGAGGACACTTTTTTGCATTGCTCTAACTTCTCCTCTGAACCACAGCTCTTTAGTTGAGCCTGTGTTTTGGTCACTTTTTGACTTTGTTTTGGACCCAGCAGTGCTGACTCAGAGCTGCAAGGAGGGTTCTCACTTAGAAGACTCGACTCCAACCACTCCAGAGCGTGAGGTTTTTGCTGGCTGCTAACATCATCTGCCTGTCTCTGATTAACATAATTTTCCAGCTCTAAAACAGGAAGCTCCAAGCTGCTCCCAGCTGTATTTGTGCAGTCCTTCAGCAGGCCTGGACTGCGACGTTTCACATCAGGGCGAGGACCGAGAGCAGTTTGACAGTCGCTCTTTCTGTTCTCTGCCTGCGAGTCCACCGAGCCAAGAGACACTTTCTTGGAGCCCTTGCTGATTTGAGGTTGGCTTGCACTACTCTTCCTTGGTTTTGTCCTTTTCACACTGCAATAAAAAAATTTTGTTTTTTTAAATTAAAAAATAAAAGAATTTTTACTGCCTCACTTTGCCCTTCTTCCAAACCCTGGAACACCACTAGGGCCACCCTCTTTCTGAACATGGGAAAAATCCCTGTATATCATCTTGACAAGCAGCAATGTTTGTCTAGTGTGCATAATATCAAGTGTTATCCATCTGATTTTCCACTGCACTAGGGGAGAACCCTATTTATTAATGACTAAGCCATGAAGGAGTGAGTTCACATTCTATTCCAAGAGGCAGAACTGGATTCATTACAGATGTTAAAGGTCAACACAGCATAAGTATATTGAATTCCTTCCTGAACTGGCTTGATAAAATAGCATTTCATAAGTGCCTAAATGATTCCAAACCATTCCCATATATCCACATGCATAATGTATAGCTACAGGACAGAGGGGGCTGGCAGGGAGAGGCAGTGAGTGTGTCTCTGTGTGAGAGCTCCTAATCTCTATTTTAGAATGTTCCTCTGGAATTTTTCCCAGGACATTTCAAAGCGTTACTTCGGAGTTAACCACTACTCATCTAGTATCAAGGTCGCTCATCTGGGAAGGACTTAGTTAATGCAAGTAGATGATATTCTAAAAGGAATTATGCAGGAAAATGGGATCACAAGGGACCTGGTGGAGTGTCAGTACATAAGCACCCCTTGGCAGTGTGTTACCTACAAACCCAGATTTCACACAGCCCATAAGATCACCTTTAAGCCCAAGCACTGAGGCTGCATTTTGAGTCTAAAAATGTCACTTTAACTGTGACCAATGGTCCAGTTTCTCAAAATGAACAAAACAATATATCTGCAAAGTGTTTTTCACCAGATTCAAGCATCACATATTTATTTTGGCTCAGAGCTTCATTCAAGGAAAAAAACAGCCTGTTTTGATTCTGCCCAGCGCTATGTGAGATATCTATGTGGGTTGTAAGAGCTTTCTCCATGCTGTAAAAACTGCAACAATCATTTTATGTGCTTATTCCCCACTAGAGTAGTAGTCTCTTGGTAATTTAAAACAATCTTTTGTAAAACAGTTTGTATTATTTGAAATTTTATTACATAGGCTAGATCCTACCAACCCAAATTTTACCCATTATAAATTCAAAAGCTTAGAAAGAATAGTGACATACATTCTTTTCAGGATGTCTTGCTTTATTTGTTCATTCAGACTGATCTTAAGCTCCTTGTTCTCAGTAGATTCAGTAAAATATTCAGATGCCCCACTGGAAAGTTCTTCTTTCTGCTCCAAAAGAAAACACAGGTTTAAAACATGACACATCAAGCTATGATTATTCAACAGAAAACTCCACTTCTAACACTAAGACTTACAGCTGTTCTTTATTATTTTGATCTGAGCAGTCTAAGAGAAACAATTATTTTTAATCTTTTAATATTTGGGAGTCTAGTCAGCTCCCTCCCCTTTCAGACTCCCGACCAACATATTTCATATGCTAAAATACACCACAAACAAACAGGACTGCAACGTAAAGGATGGAGCTTTCCAAACCAGCCTGAGGAAACTGCTGGCAAATATTTGACATCTTTGTGGCTCAAACTGTGACAAATGCCAGGAATCTCTCTTGCAGACAGGAGCATGTTTGTCAGTCAGACTTTTTTCTGAAGAGACTGACTGGCGCAGCGGTCTCTACGCTTATTCTCCGAGGAATTCCCAGAGCTTTCCATACTTAGGAAAAACATACAGAGTGGTATTCGCTCCCTGAAGAAGGCAAGGGTTAAAACTTTTAATTCTAACATTTAAACTCCCAGATTGTAGTGGTTGGCTACTACAGGACAACAGGGGAATTCTTTCTGGTCTCAGCTAACAGCAGCACCATGGTTTTACATAATACGAGGTTGGGGCGAGCGGGAGGGAAGGAAAATGCTCTTTTTCTTCAAGCTGTGAGCATTTCCTTTCACAATGAAACAATCTCCATCAGAGAAGGGCCATTTGCTGACTTCACTATTAACTACCACATGCTCCAAAAAAGTATTATCTCCCAGGCTATGGAGGAGAGGGAAAAAAAAGTGGTAAAGGCAAGAAGAGAAGAGGCTTTGTGCATCTCCTTGGCTTTGACAGCACTTTTCTCCATCAGCCTGAATGAGGCAGCCTCTGACAGGGGCTCAGCAAACACAGGGAGGGCTTATTTAGCCCATTCCTTGCTCTGTGCCATGAAAAGAACACTCAGGAACCAGGTGGTATGGAAGAACCTGTGGAGGCACAAAGCCAAAGCCTGTCCACCATTCCTGCCTGGAAAATGCCTCAAGGAACCTGTCACTTAGGGGAGATTAAGCCCTGCCCATTTTTATTTCTGTTTTAAAGGAGATGGGGGGAACCTCCATGCTCTTTCCAGAAGAAATAGCCAGTGAAAACAGCTTCCTCTTTTGTAAACAGGAGGGTAGTCAGGCAAAGAAACAAAGCCATTTCGGCACTTAAAACTACAGCTGTTCCGAGGCTCCTTTCAGAGGCAAATCACGAAAATGTGTGTGTGTGTATTGAGAGCTGCAGCAAGTGCTGTCCACTAATGGTGCAAGGAGTGTGTTTACAGCAGGCAGAAAACGCATGGGACTTACCTGCAACGTGATTTCAACCCCAGAAATCAAGCTTAACTAGTTTAATCTGAGGCATTAATTGCTGCTTCTATTCTTGTTACAGGTAGATTCCCCTAATTTGACTAAATACATTTTGGTACTTTGTAAACTATTAAAGACTGGAATATTATTAAGATACTCAAGAGTTTTGCTAATTTTAAGACAGACTGCAAAGCCTGAAGAAACTATTCTGATTTCCAGTAACAGTCACACAACTTGGACTGAAGGCTCTTGCACAATCCTCCTGCATCAAAGCAGCTGGAGAGCACTGACACTCGGCCAGGGAGCAGGAGCCCAGGCAAAAGCACTTGAGTTTCTGCTGTAAGGTGAATTCTGTTAAACCTTCTTCAGTCCTCAACACAGCCAACTGTGCCAGGATCCCCAGCCCACTAAGGGAATCCTTGCACATGTGGAAAGTGGCACTTTCTCCAAAGCCCAGGGGAGAACTGGGGGCAACTCCTGTCCACGCTCACTCCTGCAGATCAGCAACAAGCCTCAGTTCTAACTTGTATCTGATCTGAAGCAGAGTGGGAAGAGCAGACCCTGGAGACAGGCAAAGGTGACCAAGTCATGTCACCTGTGAGTTAACTCAGGCTGGAGTTAACACTCCAGAGGAGAAGGACTAACACATTCCCTCACCATGCTATCATCAACCTTTTGTTTTGCTTTCAAATACCTTATCACACAAAGCGGTGACAGAAAAGGGTTAAGGCATCAAAAAAAATTAAAAATCAGAATGATTTATATGTGAAACACTTCTGAACATGCCCTCTAAGTACAGTAGATTTTCCCCTCGGAACCACACCCTGTAAGTGCTGTATTTTGAGAGCTGAACAATTAACATAAGGCATATGAGTCAGTCTTTGAAAGACTCTGTGGGAACCAGAGAGCCTTTTGCTATTAGGAGTGATGTAAACTCCCTAAGGCTGGAATAAGTCCACAATAGAAGGCAGAGAGAGTCATAAATAACAACAATGGGCACTCCATATACTACTAAGACACTCAGCCATTATTGGTGATACTTCCTTTATTTTCTTTATTAGACTTAATAATTTTAGTTAATTAAAAAAAGAAAAAAATCTCTCTCTGTTTTGGGAATACTATTTATTTCCTATGGGAACTTCAGGACTTGTTAAAGAAATAAAAAAAAGCTAATCTGCTCTCATCCTGTCTAGTAATCCCAAATTCCTTTTGGGCAGTGAAATAATTAAAGAAAAATATTCCAGGCATAAAAGGGAGGACAGCAGAAGCAGACATCATATAAACAATGACACCATGACAGAGAAAAACGTCAAAGCACCGCCAGACTTGCGACTCGACTCTGAAAGAGCTGCAGGGAGTGGGATTGCTGCTAACAAATTAAAACCACATTTCTTGGCAAATTGTTAAAGACAGACATATTTACATTTGTATAGAGACTGGGTGGGCACAAAAGATTAAAATGCTTCTCTAGCCCTTGAACTGCCAAGTTCTATTAGAAATATGTGCTCTTAAAACCCCGGGGTAAGCTCACTCCTTTTTGTCACTAAAACTCGGCAGAGAAGGGCCTGCAGAAGTGAGGCTGACCAAGTCTTACCAGCCATCCTGCTCATAACACTGGCCTCCCCAAACCCGATTTTTAAAATCCTTAGTACTTATCCAAAGAGAAGTCTGGGAGGAAAAACCCTGTATCGAGACCTAGAGAGAAACACGTCTGTTAGGCACACAACATACTTCGTTTAAGGTTTATCAAATTGAAAATTCTTTTTCTTTTTTTTTTTTTGGCTATCTCACTCAACTCACTACTCACTCAAATTGAAAAAGAAAATCTCAAAAACGTAAAAGGGGTCACTGCCATCTCCAGCTCTCTCCAGGGCAGTTGAATTCAGCATTAAATACCTGTTAAAGAACTCCTCATAGATGGGCACTTGTGAGGAACCCTCACAACTCACTACCCTGAAGAAGAGTGAAAGGTTTTGGTCTTTTCAGCCTGACAATAAACTCATACAAATACTGATTATTTTTTTTTTCCAGTCTAAGGCTGGGTTGAAAGAAAACCTTCCAAACTGAACAATGCTGCCCCCCTTTCCTGCCTTCTCATTTGGTGTCATACTTTCTAGTTGTCTCTTCTCAGTGGCACACACTTCTGTACCAATGAAGTAACACTAAGGGATAAATAAATTTAATGTCTGGTTAACCAAAAAAAAAAACCCAAAACAAACTACACTGTTTTTAAAATGCATTTATCAATGTGGCTCATCAAAAATACTCGGTAGAAAACATCAATGGGTTCAAGAAATCTAATTTTGTATCAGAGTGGCAAATGGGAGGGGACTATAAATGTAATAATGTACACAAAATTATGAAGTATTATCCCAGGCACACACAGTAAAACTAAAATCAGTGAAATTAATAAGACAGAAGCCCTTATTTAGGGGAGCTTTATGTAAGCTGGCAATTGCATGATTTCTTTAATGCCACTCTAAGCCATATCCAGAGCTCACCCATCAAAGATAACCTTTAGGTTTCAGAGGTGTCCTAACAGATGACTGGCAGATCAGAGAGGTCAGACAGGACTCCTGCCAATCTGATAAGCAAAAAAGGGCTCCTAAAGCAAGTGAGGAGGCTTGTGAGTGAAGGATGAATCAGATACTCTAATCTAACTGATAAAAAAGTGACAGAGACAGGACTTTGGGTCTCGTCTCCTGCCCTCTCCCATCCCACATGAAGGAAAAGCTTCCCACAGTTTCACAATGCAAATTTTTTGCATTTCCAATGTAGTGATGCATCTGTCCTGGCAGATGAACTGCAACCACATCATAAAACATTCACACAAGTTTTCCAAGTACAGAAATGGATCCTATTTTGAACCTGAAATCCAGTTCTTTGATCGGACTTGCGGAATATTGCTCTGCATTTTAAAGTTGACTGTCCTGCTCTAAATGTCAGTAAGTTCCAGTAAAAACCATGAAGGATCATTCCATGTTACACACTGGAGCACTTAGTTTTTTCCTTTGAAATAGGTATTTTTAAGGAATGCTGGTGGTTTTCAAAAATTCTCCAATTTCAATCTGGAAAAGAATGTAACAAGCAGAGCAAACTGCATTTCTCTGGAGGAGCAGAACTATTCAACTTACCCATGGTCTAGCATAGAAAGCAAAATCAAACCCCTGGATCCGTGCAGTCCTCATTATCTACTACCAGATTTCATTTTAATTAAGCTTTTGCTTGTCTGCACTGTTTAGTCCAAGGGTTGGCCCCATCTGTTACAAGCCCCTGTGATACACATTCCACTTTCTCAACCTACAAGGTGTGAACCCAAGTTTCTCACTTGATACATAAGTCCTGGCAACTCCAAACATTCCAAAGGTCCCCAAAGCATCATCAGATTAGCTCAAAGCATGTGACTTCTATGAGGAAAATGCCTCCTTCCTTTTGAAGTATTTGGTTCAGATTTTAATTGTATATTACATACAGCAGGAATCCCACACTATCCTGAATGTAAGAAATTCAGAGTTCTCTAGATTTGCATTTGAGCAGTTGCAAGAGAATAGAAAATAGAAAAATTCCTGCTGTAAATGGCATAGAACAAACACAATCTGATACTCCACAAAAACTAAAGCTGCAGGGGGGGCCTTTTTAAAAAATCAGACCTCTCTGTATCACAGAGAG